TCTCCTAAACCGGGGATTCCGGGTTCGAATCCCGCCGAGGGTAGTAATTCTTTAAAGGAGAGTTTTTTTGCCAGTAAATTGGCAATATTAGAAGCATGTTTCTTATGCCTATAAAGAGAGTATTCGAAATAACTTGTGAAGAACATTTGAGAAATACACAAAAAGCAAGGTAGGTATTACTTGTGTCCATTTTTACATTTTTCGTCTTTAAATTAATTGATAGAACAGTATACTTTTTGTCAAATGCTTGTTTTTGGAATTTATTGACGCTTTTTCTTCGAACAAAAAGTGTTTTTGACGCCATCGTGGCCTAATGGATAAGGCATCGGTCTCCTAAACCGGGGATTGTGGGTTCGAATCCCGCCGAGGGAAGTATTTCTTTAAAGGGGAGTTTTTGTTTCCTGTAACATTGGCAATATTACAAGCATGTTTCTTAAGCCTATGAAGAGAGTATTCGAATTAAACTGTCGAAAGGACATCTGAGAAATATACAAAGAGCAATTTAGGTAATACTTGTGTCCATTTTTAAATTTTTCTTCTTTAAATTAATTGATAGAACTGTATTCTTTTTGTCAAATGCGTGTTTTTGTAATTTAATGACACTTTTCATGTTTTTCCGAACAAAAAGTGATTTCGACGCCCTCGTAGCCTAATGGATAAGGCATCGGTCTCCTAAACCGGGGATTGCGGGTTCGAATCCCGCCGAGGGTAGCAATTTTTAAAGGATAGTTTTTTTTTCCTGTAACATATGTAATATTAGAAGCATGTATCTTATGCCTATAAAGAGAAAATTCGAAATAAACTGTTTAGAACATTTGAGAAATATTCAAAAAGGAAGGTAGGTATTACTTGTGTCCATTTTTACATATTTCGTCTTCAAATTAATTGATAGAACAGTATTCTTTTTGTCAAATGCGTGTTTTTGGAATTTAATGAAACTTTTCATGTTTTCCCGAACAAAAAGTGATTTCGACGCCGTCGTGGCTTAATGGATAAGGCATCGGTCTCCTAAACCGGGGATAGCGGGTTCGAATCCCGCCGAGGGTAGTAATTCTTTACAGGAGAGTTTTTTTTCCTGTAACGTTGGCAATATTAGAAGCATGTTTCTTATGCCTATAAAGAGAGTTTTCGAATTAAACTGTGGAGAACATTTGAGAAATTTACAAAAATTAGAAATATACTTGTGCCCATTTTTTCATTTTTCGTCTTTGAATTAATTGATCGAACAGTATTCTTTTTGTCAAATTCATGTTTTTATAATTTAATGACACTTTTCATGTTTTTCCAACCTCAAGTGGTTTCAACGCTCTCGTGGCTTAATGGATAAGGCATCGGTCTTCCAACATGATTGGTCCGTCCAGCTGAGCCGGAGAAGTGAATATCCAAGGTGCGGTGAGTAGTGGTCTTTTATGTGTTTTTTTTATTATAAATTGAGGACTAAATTAACTTTAGAAAAATGTTTAGGAACTGCCGCAAGGAAGATCTTCGTATTGTTGCTCTTGGACTTTTTGAGACTCTTTCTTATAAAGTAACTATAATTGAGTTAACTGAAATTATTAAAGAAAATAAATATTTTATGGAGGATGTTGAATTTGTTGAAGAATTAATTCAATATACGATCGAAGACCTTAAGCAAGCAAAGGAAGACCGTAAAAAAGCAGACGAAACTATGTTATGAGAAAAAGAGCTTGAGCTTGCACGTTTACATAGAGTTAATTCAGATAACGAGAGATCAGATGAGGATTATAACTTGCTAGATGCGTTGAAGAGTGTACGAATACTAACTGTGAAGGTGCCTAAGAGAACTTAATGATGGGCATTCTTTTTCGCTTCGTTAGAGAGGGCCTTTGCATCAAAAAATGTACCCGAGAAATTGAAATCGGAAATTTTATTAAATTTGTTAGGAGAAAAAGCTGCAAATGTGTTAACATATGTTAAAGATATCGAGCTTAACAATTATGAAAAACTAAAATTAATAATACTAAGAATATACGCGCGCGCGAGCCAAGTGCAAATCAATTTCTTGAACAATTTTAAAAAGCTATGCGTCATTCAAATGAAACTTATACTCAGTATACTTCTCGCTTAATAACAAATTGGCAGTATTACTTAAAATTAAGGAGGGTCTCTGATTTTGATAATTTAAATGATCTTATAATGTCGGACAAAATTTTCAGTACTCTTGAAAAAGAGGTACCTTCACATATTTCCGTCCGAGCAGGAAATGATTGGTTTCGCCCACTGGAACTTCCAAAGAGATAGACTTGTATAACACTTCTCGAGGAAAGAACTTAAAACCTTTGCCGAATGTCCTTACTAGAAATAATCCAGCGAAGAATAAGTCAAGGGTATTTAACTCGCTTTTATAAGTTTCATTTGCATGTAACGGAATCTTGGAACTCTATTTTCTCCTACTTAAGTTCAAAAAAATTCGAAATTTTGTACAAATGTCAAGGACGGATGACAATACAATAATTTCACAGTTTTGTTCCATTGTCCTTATCAGGATCGTCAGGAATAACAATAATCAGATTTGGTGACAATTCCATGTACAACTTCCAGATTTGGCTACTTATTGCATACACCATTTTCAAATTTGGCGACTAATTCCGTACACCATTTCCAGATTTGGCGACTAATTCCATACAGCATTTCCAGATTTGGTGACTAATTCCAGATATAGCGACTAAAAGAATAAAGTGTAACCCTAACGGGAGTGTTTTAAATTTAAAGCAAATTATATGCAAGTGTAAAATACACTTGTGGTTAATACAGATGAAACAAACAAACAAAAAGAGTTCTTTATGTGAGAAAGGGGAGGGTGGGTGGGTGCTAACGATTTCTTATCATAATATAAATATTTTCTGAAAATGAAAATAAAAAAAAGCCTCGTGCATGTGGGGAAAAAATGTTTGTTCTAACTGCTAAATGTTTTTTATTTTTATGAAGCAATCCGCTTAGAAAACCATACGTTACGTTTTGTTTTGATACGATTTAAAAATTATAGCAATACGGTTAAAAGGGGAAAAAATGATTGACGCTAAATATTACCATGTTTTTATTAACTCGCTTTCTTGAATATCTGTCTGGGTGAAATTTTGTAATTCTTTTTAAACTGACTTCCCGATGAGTTAAGAAACTTGAAATTTGGACCATAGCTCGGAAGTGGTTGGCAATGCATGAAAATATGAAAAAGAGAGGGGAAAAAAAGAGAAGGAATTTTATATACTTTTTAAGTCCGTTATAAGAACATGAAACATTAAAATATTTTTAATTCGAACTTTTTTTTCTCAACGCACTTTTGTTTGACCTGTTCTATAGAGACCGAATCTAATATAACGATACGGAACTCATCCGAGGCCCTGTAAACGGAGAGAATAAATACACTTCAGAACCTTTAATAAATATCCATTGAAGAGCAAGATTAATTCCAGCAGCCACGTAATTCCGGCTCCAAATATCAAACTCAAGGACAAATTCAACAATGAGTAAATGTTTGTTTAAAAAAACTAAAAAAAAAACCGCTTTTATTGTAGTTTGAACTAAAAAATAAAAAATAAATTTTAGTTTAAAAAAACTAAAAAAACACGTTTTTATACGAAATCGAACTAAAAAGTAAAGAATAATTTTTAATATGCGAATAAAATGATGAACGAGAAAAATTAATTTCATTGAGGTAAAAGCGTGGGGTGCTTAGTACTACATTTTTGTACTAACTCGGTATTTCGGAATAGAAGTTAGAAATTATAACAATTGATAAATATACGCTTTTGGAATTTGCGAGTTCGAATCTCGCAGAGGGTGGTAGTTCTTTAACTCGCAGGGTCTGTCATACCCAGCGCCTATTTTTTCAATGCTCCTCCTAAATATTTTTTCTGAAAATGTATATTTTCTCGTGTAGCTGATTTTAAGGTCTATCTTTTGAGGGCCTTAGCTTGTAGGCAAAAAATAAATATATTTTTTTGGATATAGCCTCTTTGGGCATGCCATACCCTGCGCGTGAATCATCGTTGCAGTTCTAAATACATGAGCACGCATTAAAATCTTTCTCATGTAATGCAATATTGTAATTATGATGAAGAATTGGGATATTTGAGTAGATTGATAGATACAGTATTTAATAAATGAAGAAAATCTCTTAACGGTTATGACGAGAAAGAATCAAATGATGAAGATTATGACAGCGAGTATGATTCCTCCACTGAAATTGATCCAGATTTAGATAAGGGAGACACTGTTGAAAATAAATGTTTTATATGTAGAGACACAAAAACATTTGGGAAGAATGTAACTTTAGAGACAACTGGTACATATCTTATCCACTTTCAGATGAACTTTTGAAAGAAAAAAAACTATTGCTGAAAAACAGTAAGAGGGAGGAAAAATTTCAAGTTTTTTTTTTAATTTAAGGAATAGAGAAGTTTACTCCTACATGTTTAGTTTTAAAAATATACAGATTAAAAAAATTATGATCCAATGAAAACATCCCACTCACTCACGATGAAATTAAAGGAGTGTATAAACTATGCACTGAATGGCCTTATAAAAAGAACAAAAAAAGTAAATTTACGAGACAAAAATGTAATAAACATATTATATTTCCTACTTTTCTTTCTTTTTACCATTTGTATACAAATTCAACGGTAAAATCGCAATATAAACACATTTCGGTATATCATACTCTGGGCGAGAACTGTAGGTCGTTTTTTTCGTGCGAGTGTTACCGTGTTAAAGGAGTGTATATTTTCACTGTCACGTGTGTGTGTGGCCAAGTATTAGATGCATGTTTCTAATACATATTAAGTGTGACTATTCGAAATAAACTGTGGGAGAACGTTTGAGAAATATACAAAAAGCAAGGTAGATATTATTTGTATCCATTATTACATTTTTCTTCTCTAATTAATTTATAGAACACTATTCTTTTTTGTCAAATACATGTGTTTATAGTTGAATGAGACACTTTGTCATGTCTTTCCGGACATAAAGTGGATTTTTTCGCCCTCGTGGACTAATGGATATGTACTCGGTCTCCTAAACCGGAAATTGTGGGTTCGAATCCCGCAGAGAGTAGTAGTTATTTAAAGGACCGTACGTTTTGCCTGTAACATGGCTAAGTATTAGAAGCATGTTTCTAATACATAATAAGTGAGACTATTCGAAATTAACTGTGGGAAAACATTTGAGAAATATACAAAAAGCAAGGTAGACATTATGTGTGTTCATTATTACATTTTCCATCCCTCAAATTTATTGATAGAACAGTTTTTTTTCCTTCCAAATAGATGTGTTTGTAATTGAATGACATTTTTTCTATGTTTTTTCTAAACAGAAAGTGGTTTTGTCCCCATCGTTGTCAATTGGACAATTCATCGGTTTCCTAAGCCGGGGACGGGGATTGCGGGTTCGAATCCCGCCGAGGGTAGAATTTCTTTAAGAATAGTCGGTACTCCCTATACCGTTAATTTGAGCATTTTTATGTACCTATTTCTCAAAAACTGTTAAATATAAAAACTTCAAATCTTGTCTGTATATTAATAATACTTTTATATTTATACTAAAGTGAGATTTTTTAAATATTTTCTTAAGTTTTTTCTTAAATTATGCAAATAAATGTATTACTATGAATTTTTTGAAAATTGTTATTTTTTTCACTATAAGTGACATCTACCAAAATATTTTGAGAATATAAATAAAAGCTCACTTCAGTATATATAGTTACATATAAGTTGTGTTCACTGAAATTTGCATGAGGATTCTTTCGTTCAATTCTGAGAAAAAGATACACACACAGTTTGAAAAACCTCTTTTTTAGAAAAATGCATAAAAGTGAATTGTTTAAGTAAAATAGGAAACAAAATTTTTAAAATACCAGAAAATACATACATAGCATCTTTCAGTTTTGTTTCACAAGACATTTTGTAAAATTTACATCTATTTTCTCAAAATCTGTATAAATTTTTGTAGAATTTGTAGCTGTTATGCACATTACAAATTTCCAAATATTAAAGTAGACCATATATCATCATAAATATAATGTGAAGAAATTTATCTATATGGTTTTGGTGCGCGTTTGAGAAAACATGATTTTACGTCATTTCGAAAGTTTTCAACAGTGTTTTGTGTGTTTATATGTAAACATAAGTTTCTAAAACTTAGACATTTCAAAAGTTTCTCTAAACTGGACAAATGATTTTTAAAACAGCCAAAATAAAACTGTTTTTTATGTTTTTAACATGATATTTATGTATTTGTATGTATGTAACCAGCTTCTTGCAACGACAAATGGTATTGCACATCTGAATTATTTGAAGGTACTATTCATTCAGAAGCTTTTGAATATTTAAGCTCAAAAACTTGTCTGTACAATAAAGAAACATTTATATTTATACTAAAGTGATATTTTTTAAAAAATTAGTTTTTTAAAAAACAAACTTTTATTTATCATCACTAAATTTATTCAAAGTTGTCACTTTTTGACACAACATGTGCTCTTAGCTCACTGTTTATTCGTAATATTTTCAAAATATCACTTCAGCATGCATAAGTATGCATAAGGAATATATAACGTAAACTTGCCGTGTCTTTATTCACATACAGTAAATTTACAAAAATTTTATTTTTTTAAACACAAATTTAAAAATATAATTTTTAGAAAACTGTAATTTTTTTTTATAAGAAACCTTACCTTGTCAGATTAAATATTTCAAAAATATTAAATAATTCTTATTTAAAACAATTGGAAATATATATTTTGTAACTATAAATCCCGCCACAAAAATATTACAGTTAATCGTACAGTTATACTGTTATCTAAAGTTAATTGCCTATGAATAAATAAAAAGAAGGTTTTGCAATTGTTTCAGGATATTTAAAAGGCAAATATCTGTCAAAAGTGGGCGTCGCAAGCCAGTTGATTATTTTTAAGTCCTTTTGACATACTTCTAATTGAAAATATGGCATATGTGTTATATACCTAGAAACGTAATGCAATATACTTATCAGAAATATCAAAAACTCAAAATTTATAAGCTCATGATTTTTAGCCTACTAAATGTTCTTAAAGGAGCGTATAGTTTGCCTGTAACATGGCCAAGCATTAGACGCATGTTTCTAATGCACATTAAGTGTGACTATTCCAAATTAACTGTGGGTGAACATTTGAGAAATATACAAAAAGCAAGGTAGGCATTATGTGTGTCCATTATTAAATTTTTCATCTCTCAAATTAATTGATAGAACAGTATTTTTTTCTTTTTGTCAAATAGATGTGTTTATAATTCAATGACACTATTTCATATTTTTCCGATCATAAAGTGGTATCGTCGCATCGTGGCCTAATGAGTAAGCCATCGGTCTCCTAAACAGAGGATTGCGGGTTCGAATCCTACCGAGGGTAGTAGTTCTTTGAAGGAGCGTATATTTTGTCTGTCCCATAGCCAAATATTAGACGCATTACTGCACATTAAGTGTGACTATTCGAAACGAATTGTGGGAGAACCATTGAGAAACATACACTCATGTCCATAAATTAAGGATAATTCAGAATCACACAGAAATTGAACTTCAAAATAAAAATTTCACCTCTCTGTAGAATTATCACACACATCTTGAAGAAGAATATGCAAATTACAGGAAACCACCAGATGGCGTGGATAGTACGTCACAATGACGAGAGTGTAAGAGAGGGGTATATAAGGAATGGTGGCAAAGAACTAAAATTGTTCACAAGGCTTTAAAGGCCTTTTAGTGCAATAACTGCATAGTTACGGCACAAAGGAAGCATTTGAATGATTTTTTACGTGGTAGAATTATCGGACGACTGGAATGTGGACGTACCAGCTGGAAGTATCCGAGGAACTTGGAATTGCCCAGAGTGTCATCTCCAGGCTTTAGAAATGATTCCAAGATGATGGTAACGTGAGTAGATGTTACAGCACAGGTCGCCCCGAGTTACAACGCCGAATGGGAACCGGTATTTGGCAGTTACTACCAAAAGAAACAGACGGGGCACAGAGCACAGCATCAGACCTCTCTCGCCAGCACTCTTCAGCTACAGGTACGACAGTTTCAAGGCAGCCGTGTACAGACGCTTTAGGGCACATTGTTCTATATGCTCGTAGGCCTGTCAGATGTGTTACCCTTACCACAACTCACTGTCGCCTGCGATTAACCTGGAGTAGAGAGCATGCATTGTGAACACCGCAACAGTGGTCTTGTGTGGTGTTTTCCGACGAGTCCAGGTTTAGTTTGCAGTCTGATTCTCGCCGGACTTTCATATGGATAGCGCCAGGTATCCGTTACCACCAAGAGAACACCATTGAACGACACCGTTCTGTGGTGCAGGATGACTCGTTTGGGGTGGAATTATTCTTGGTTCCAGAACTGACCTACATGTTCAGAGTGTAACGATGACAGGCCACATCTATCGGGATGTCATTCTGGAACAACATGTACGTTTGTTTCGGGGTGCCATGGGTGCTGAATTTCTGTTTATGGATGACAACGCCCGTCCTCACCGTGTAAACATTGGAGACGAATGCCTTCAATCGGAGGATATAACCCGTATGGATTGGCCAGCATACTCACTGGACTTGAATCCAATAGAGCATGTGTGGGATATGCTTGGCCGACGAATTGCAGCCCGTCAACCCCCTCCCACCTGTCTACCTCAACTTCGGAGGGCATTGCTTGATGAGTATTGTAATATTCCCCAAGATCAGATTGATAATTTGATACTCAGCATGCGTAGGCGTCGTAAGGCCTGTATTGCATCGTCCGGGAGACATACTCCGTATTAACCATCATACTAACCATGTTATACTGTTTTTTGTAAATAGGTTCTTTTTTGAAATTTGCTCCAGGGAGTAAAATTCGCAATTTTTATTAATTATGTCAAACATATAGCATCTTTTTTGCTCGAGATATTACACATTTTCTTCACAAATACAACCTTGGTTTCTCAGATACGAATATCAGACTACGAATCCTGTGCAAGTCCAGTATAGCTCTGAGCTGTAATAGGAAAGATTTGTCCTTGAATGATTCAGATATTTTATAACTTCTCTTGATTGTACGATGGAACTTTGTATTCACAGTCTAATTAATCTTGTCCTTTAGGGAGACATTTTAGTGACAGATATTGATGGATGAAGGAAGGCAGATGAACTTGGATATGTTATTCCTCTTTCAACGAGAACTTATTTAAGAGTAGTGTATTTAGTTCTTTCTGTTAGAGAAATAATTTATGTCTATATTTTTAAGTTCAAATTAATAGTCTTTTACCCCATTGTATCTGACAATGAAAAAATCAGATGATGGATTTAATGAGTTACCTTAGAACTGTAGAACCAGCAAGGAAAAATGAAAATAAGAACAATGGGATGAGCGGAATCAAGACGTTTAATATCTTCACCTTCTGGAAATGGACGTAAAATTATTTCATTTATAATATATTTTAATCATGGTGTAATAATTAACACTATAACATAAACACAAAGACGTAAGATATTTTTCTATTTTGGCGATCCCTGAACACATAATAAACAATTTAAAAAATGTCTAGTAAATACTGAAAAATTGGCATTTCAACTTGTGAATACCGGTATTTCAAAACTATAAATGGCTCAAAATACCGGTATTCCGGTATTGCAATCCCTAAATGTAACCTTCCCCTCATAAGATAAGTCTGTTTACGATACTGCTCGTAATTTCGAACCTCTTGTCAAGTGACGAGGACTTAACTTGAACTGGCGACCTTCTCTTTTAACTAATGACCGTTATGTTACTAAAGTCCTAGAAAAAGTCAGAACAGATTATAAGGGTATTTTTTAATCTTCTGTGAACACCGATGACTTTCTCTTTTAGATGCCCTTGTTATCTTACAAGGGGAGGGCACGACTAAGGAAATTCATTTGGGGACGAGACTTTGTGTAATAGTAGTATTCCTTCAGAGAACCTGCAATGCATTAGCGCCGAATGGCCAGTCAATTCGGAGAAAATAGCTTTCGAAACTCATGCTCGGTACCATCATTCAAGATAACTCGGTAACCTGATTCCATATATATCGTACA